TCAGCCATACCTTCGCTAGAGTCCTTCCTCCAGACTGAATCTGCCCAGGTCTTATTCCCAAGCTTTAGTTATTTGTATTGGTCTCTGACTACATTCTCCTTGGTTTCTGTCTCTTATGTAAAGCACTTTGCCCAGCAGAGCAACATATTTAGCTTTCAGCTCTGTGGCACTCATGTACCAATGCACCTGCAGTATAAAACACAGTGGAACTGGAAATAGTTTATAACAGCCATTACTTTTGTAACTCTTTAAACTATTTCACACTTCATTTGGAAAGCTCTCTAGTGGTAGATGACTGGAGTGGACTGGGGGAAAAACTGGAGAGCACAGCTCTGCAAAATATATTACGGGTGAACAGCAGTTCTCATGTGGTTTTTCAGTTTTAAAAATAAAGTATTTTATACAAACCTGAAAGAAAGTAGAACAAAGGTTTCTATGGTCAGTACCCTGAAAGCACTGAAAAGCTGTCCTTGAGTGGTGCTAGTTAGATGAATAGAGTTACACACAGGATTCAGAATTTAAGACTGTAGATGTGGTATTTTTTGTGTTGCTATCACTAAAACTACCATTGCAGATTATCTATGGCTGTATTGCATGTTTCTCCTGACCGAAATGTTTCTATATCTCTCTGTTTCTATATATCTCTGCTGGTTTTGGCTGGAGTAGTTCATTTTCTTCACAGTAGCTGCTATGGGGCAATTGTTGATGGACATGTGACCAAAACAGTGTAGGTAACACAGGTGTTTTGCTAGTGCTGAAAAATCCTGACACAGAGTCAGGGCCTTTACTGTCTCTCACCCCACACCACCAGTGTGTGGGTTGGAGGTGCACAAGTTGTTCGGAGAGTGTACAGCCAGGACAGCTGACCCCAGCTGACCACAGGGATATCCCATACCATATGACATCATGCTCAGCTTATAAAACTGGGGGAAGAAGAAGGAAGGGGGGAACGTTTGGAATGATGATGTTTGTCTTCCCAAGTCACCGTTATGTGTGGTGATGTCCTGCTGTCCTGGGGATAACTGAACACCTGCCTGTCCGTGGGAGGTGGTGAATGAATTCCTTGCTCTGCTTTGCTTTCACGTGCAGCTTTTGCTTTAGTTATTAAACTGTCTTTATCTCAACCAGAAAGTTTTCTCACTTTAACCCTTCTGATTCTTTTCCCCATCCCACCATGGGGGACTGAGTGAGTAGCTGTGTGAAGCTTAGTTCATTGGCTGGGTTTAAACCACAACAATATATTGTTATATAGGTATTTATCATCCTGCTACTGTGATATGTTATGTCTATCTGTTTGAAAAAAATCATAGGATGTTGCTTTTTGTTTTTATTCCAATATATTGTGTTAAAACTTTCATTAATATTTCCTCAGTCTGTGTGATGAGTCAATACATTCCCATTTTCTGTGGAGAAAATAAACCAAAAAACTCTCATCAAGATTAATATGATGTATAAAGGTAGAAGATTATTTTTTTTTTTTTTTTTTT